AAATAGACCACTAGTTATCGAGTTGCTCCAATAAATAGACCACTTGTTCGAGTTGCTCCACTAAAAGACCACTAGTTATCGAGTTGCTCCACTAAAATACCACTAGTTATCGAGTTGCTCCAATAAATAGACCACTAGTTATCGAGTTGCTCCAATAAATAGACCACTTGTTCGAGTTGCTCCACTAAAAGACCACTAGTTATCGAGTTGTTCCAATAAATAGACCACTTGTTCGAGTTGCTCCACTAAAAGACCATTAGTTATCGAGTTGCTCCACTAAAATACCACTAGTTATCGAGTTGCTACATTAAAAGACCACCAGTTATCGAGTTGCTACATTAAAAGACCACTAGTTATCGAGTTGCTCCATTAAAAGACCACTAGTTATCGAGTTGCTCCCCTCGATAACTAGTGGTCTTTTAGTGGATAACTAGTGGTATTTTAGTGGAGCAACTCGATAACTAGTGGTCTTTTAGTGGAGCAACTCGATAACTAGTGGTATTTTAGTGGAGCAGCTAATTTAGCAGTGTAAGACTAGAGGGAAGGCAGCTAGTCATCACCACCCATCGCCAACTCTTGGGCTACTCTTTTACCAACGAATAGTGGGATTGACCGTCACATTATAACGCACCCACGGCTGAAAGGGCGAGCATGTTTGGTGTGACGGGGATTCGAAGATTGCGAGTCGAGCGCCCTAACCACCTGGCCATGCCGGGCCACGCTTCTCGTTAGATCGTAAAGATGAATAAGCATGGCATTGTTAAATCGCAAGATGAAACCGTACATAAATAAAGTAAAACTATAATGTATTATACTTATTGAAGATGATGTTTCTCTATCAAAACAGAACGAATAAGAAAAGGGATTTTGAAACAAACGTATTCGAACAATTTAGCAGTGTAAGACTAGAGGGAAGTCAGCTAGTCATCACCACCCATCGCCAACTCTTGGGCTAATCTTTTATCAACGAATAGTGGGATTGAACGTCACACTATAACGCCCCTACGGCTGAAAGGGCGAACATGTTTGGTGTTTGTTTGGACAGAGTATCATATATAAGTAAGATTTTGTCTTTCAAACAAAATTTAATGTTTGTTAAAGAGTATGTTACAAACGAATTTTATCGAAAACTACACTACATTTGATTCTACTTTATCATGAAATGACTACGTTAAATACACGATTCTTTATCATTCTCAAATTCTTTCACAAGTTGCTCTAAGTCATAATCTTATTTCAAACCTGTGTTTAACTCGGTCTAACTGTTACAAGTGTTTCATAGTTTCCTTTCATCATGTAATCCTTTATTTATTCAGTAGACTTCTTAACAGATACCAATTCATCTTAGGTTAACCCCCTAGATACCGGCTGGCGCCCATTATACAGACATGTAGATTGAAACAACGGGGGCAAAATATTGTTACGACAGTGGAAGTCACGTGACTCTGCTGGCGCATTGCCTCTAGTGGCGTGTGCGAGGAGTTTCTCGAATGATCATGAATTTCCTAGTGCGTTCGAGTCGCCCTTTTCTCAAGTATATAAGCTTGGCAGAGGAAGCCAGCGGGATAGACAGATATATAGTTAAGCGAACAGTAGTTACGGTTTTTCGGGAAATAGTAAAGTGTATGTTTTGTACTCGTAGAAAGCGAAATTATCGAGATTGTGAATTGCTGTGATTTATAGCGTGTATTATAAAAGTCGTTAAGTTTAAAGTTACGAGAAACGTACTGACTGTGGAAATTCTGTGTGCTAAAAGTTTGTATCGAGGAAGAATAAACTGGTTTAACCAAGAAAGGACTTATATCGCTGAAGTTTCTCGGAAAGAAATTCTACCGGAAATTAACATACAAGCAGATACGTAACAGTATCTTGCTCAATGACACAACTACATGTCGCGAACAAGCCTTGAACTCGCAAACTTCCGACCACGTTAACATTATAAGCTTATAGGGAAATCACGTAGCTTCGTTATAAAATACTTAAAGTGTGTTTATGGCTGCAAAAATAAAATGTTTTTTCTCGTTTTTTCCCGTTAGTAACCAGGAATTATTTCTAAGAACGCATATAGAATAGAGCTACGTTTTGTAAGATACTTGGCACAAATCCTGAAACAATTGAATAAAATGTTAAGGCCTACTTACTTACTTGGGACAGAGGATTTACAACGCTAAAATCAAGGGTTCGATTTCCCTCAGTAGACACAGTAGATGGCCCGATGTGGTTTTGCCACAAAACACAGGCATAAACATGCGTACTTGGACTTTAAGGTTTAACCCAAGAAAGCAGTTCATCAAAATGTTAAGTTTGACAGAGAAACGAAACTCATCTCAGACTATCAGGTCTCATTATAAATAGGCCCGGCGTGGCCAGGTGGTTAGGGTGCTCGACTCGCAATCTGTGGGCCGCGAGTTCGAATCCCTGTCACACCAAACATGCTCGCCCTTTCAGTAGTAGTGTTGCTATAATGTTATTGTCAATCCAATTATTCGTTGGTAAAAGAGTAGCCCAAGAGTTGGCGGTGGGTGGTGGTGACTAGCTGCCTTCGCTCTTGTCTTACACCGCTAAATTAGGGACAGCTAGCGCAGATAGCCCTCGTGTAGCTTTGCGCGAAATCCATAACAAACAAGCAAACATTATAAATAATAATTCATTAAAATATTCAGAATCCCGCGCACAGAAACGAATTATCTGAACTTCAGATTCTAAAGGGGATCTGGTAACATTTCGTTGCTGACGTCAAATTTGCTCGTGTTGTCGTTATTATACTTGCTTATTATTTAAAGCTGAAAGTTACAGACCGTTTATTGTGTCATTTTGAAGTTTTAAAAGAAAAATCATATTAACGTTTGCTTTCGAAATAGCGCAAGACTTCTTATTTTAATCTCATTTTGATGAAAACTAGGAACTATGAGTGACTTTCTGATTCATTTAGTCAAAGAAACATTTATTACTGAAAATTATAAATTTAAAAATAAAATAAATACAAAATGCCCAGAGGTTGAGATACTTGTTGTAAAGAGCATTAATACATAGTATGATTAGTATGAGAAACATTGCCATTAAAGTTGACATGTATTATACGCTCAACATTATGCTAATACAATTGGCGGTAAAAGAAAGTATAAGCAAATCAAACAACGAATTCGGCTGCATCTAAGATTAGCTCAAGTTACACAACATACTAGATGGTTCTCGGGTGGGACAGCGGTAAGTCTACAGACCTGTAACGCTAAAATTCGGGGTTCGATTTCCCGCGGTTGATACAGCAGATAGCCCAATGTGGCTTTGCTATGACAGTCAAACCAATAAACTCAATATATTTGTCCTGAGAAGTCTATCAGCAAAAGCTAATCCTACGGTGTATAAAAACGGCACTGACAAAAATAACTATACGCAAGTTAACGCCATTTTTAGATCAAACATTATATTTATTCAATCGAGCCAAATAACAAATATTTTAAAGAAATATGACATGAAAACTCGATCTTTACCGTCGCAGACCCCCTTTAGAACGATTCATGGGATAATATATATTCACCATCATGGTTTTCAGGCTAAAATCTATAAATTAAGCGTTGTTATTCATTCCGCCTACAAAATTACGTCACATAAGAAGCGGAGGTATAATTTTATATACTCAGGGGAAATCTCTATTCGTTTTTTTAAACACCTTCTCGTCGAATGAATTGTATATACAACCTACATAACTAAATATTTTCATATGCTCTTTAGGGCCAGTGTTATATAAATGCAATACATCTTTTAAAAAGCATTCTTGAGCATAAGTATATTTTTACAGTATTGTCAAAAGCTTAATATTTGAATTAATCTCGTTGTTTTGACTAGTTCAAAAGGAAGTGAATAACCTGTTCTGAGCTTTTTCCTGAACATCTACTGTGGTGAGTGTTTCTGTAAATAGTTTCATTGTAAAGTGTAACTAAATCCTAGAATTAAAAGAGAACATAAATGCTAACGGTATTGACGTTACATAAACTAAAATCCGTTGTAATGCTAACGAAAATGGTGTTAATGAATATATTTCTCACTGATGTGAAATAAAGTTGAAGATAAAAGTGGAACTATATTACTGTTGTTCTGATTGTTATATTCCTATTTGTTTAAAGTTAAATCATACAAAATATGTAAACCGATCTCAAGTCAAAATAATTTAAAGAAGAAAAATATCATTGCTTTTAACATACTTTTTCTGCTAGTTAAAAATGTAAAATATTTATTGAAAAGGGTTTGACAATATTTTTGTAGAAACGTTTCATGGAAATGGAAGGTTGTTACTTGTTTTAATAAAGCTAGTTAAAAGTTAACCGAATTAATTATAGTAATTAAAAGAAGAGTTTATGGAGGTTAGTTTAAACGAATTAGTCCACCGTTTTAAAATCCCTCAGATACTTATAAATCACGTACGATGGAAGAAGTAGATAAATCGCAATGTAAAGAGCAACTCGATAACTAGTGGTATTTTAGTGGAGCAACTCGATAACTAGTGGTCTTTTAATGGAGCAACTCGACAAACAGACTTAACATACTATATCTGTGTTAGCCGTATATAGCATGGATTTCATCAAAGTACTCTTTTTTGTTTTGTTTTACGACTACAGTATTTCATTTCTTTTCCAGCATTAAAATATTTCAATCAACGTTCATAAAGAACTTCTCTAAACAGATTTTACTGAAACACCAATGTTAGAACGCTAATAACAATATCTCCAGACTAAATGTCACTGATTTCCGGACCTTTAAAGAGTACAGAAATTGTCAAACAAACAAGTTGTTGGCTTTAAAATAAGAAATGTTCACATAAACATCGTCCGACAAACAAATATAAAGTGTTGTTTAAAAATAAAGTGTCATACAAGCAGATCTTTGTCCGACAAACAAATATAAAGTGTTGTTTAAAAATAAAGTGTCATACAAGCAGATCTTTGTCCGACAAACAAATATAAAGTGTTGTTTAAAAATAAAGTGTCATACAAATAGATCTGTGTCGTACAAACAAGCATGAAGTGTTGTTTGGACAGTTTGTTTGTTTGTTTTGAATTTCGCACAAAGCTACACGAGGGCTATCTGCGCTAGCCGTCTATTATAGGAAATGTTACTAGCAGACATTAGAATTCATGTTTTATAAAATCTATATAATTACTTCCGTCGTGGCACGTGCTAAAAACTTTTCGGTGCAAGAAAGACCTCCAAACCCAATTTGTGAAACCAAAACTCGGCACTGGTTAAAATACCTTGAATCAATTGCGTAAGAACACTTCACGCCTAGCAGGAACAAGTAATTATATCTAATTTAAGACACCTATAAAACTTACCGTGTCAGTAACGTAATATCCTGAGGTTTATGTAAATATGATTAATAGTTACAAGTACAGGTAACCCAAAACATACCAAAAGACATTAATCATTATGAGGACGTTACTGTAATGTAAAATGGAAGTCATTCTTCACACCTTTTTTAAAGTTGACAACTCCCATGTTCTTGTTTTATCTTTTTTTTTATAGAACTCAGAAAAGTAAGCATGCACTATATTATAGCCTAATAAGCAACATATGTTCATTTTCTACACCACGCTCCGTTCAATACCTCGAAATTGACATTTGTATTCTTTCTTCGTCTATATATAAACAACATTCACCATGTATTCATCAACAACTAAGAAATGTTCATTCTTGACCATTTCTTATTTAAATATTGAAGATCTGTGCATAAAATTCCATAGTGGAACACCGATAGATAAAATGTGAAATGCTTGTATATACTTCCAAGGACGGAGTTTTAAAAAAAGAGATTACTAGATGTGGTTCAGTTCTTTCTTGGTAGCAGCCAGATTAAACAAAGCTCCAAGGACGGAGTTTAAAAAAGAGATTACTAGATGTAGTTCAGTTCTTTCTTGGCAGCAGCCAGAGTAAACAAAGCTCCAAGGACGGAGTTTTAAAAAAGAAATTACTAGATGTAGTTCAGTTCTTTCTTGGCAGCAGCCAGATTAAACAAAGCTCCAAGGACGGAGTTTTAAAAAAGAAATTACTAGATGTAGTTCAGTTCTTTCTTGGCAGCAGCCAGATTAAACAAAGCTCCAAGGATGGAGTTTAAAAAAAGAGATTACTAGATGTAGTTCAGTTCTTTCTTGGCAGCAGCCAGATTAAACATATATCATTCCTTA